TCGTGTAAATCAAAATAATAGAAAACCTTTTTCCCTTTTATAACCCCCCCCCCCCCCAAAAAAAAAAAAATAAATAAATAAAAGAGGCAGAAGAGTTGTAAATAGAATTACCTATCATAATTTCTTTGAGCATTTAAAATATAATCTGTTGATCAAAACATCTTAGGCCCCGTTTGGTATGCATTTTTTTCAAAATGCATTTTTCTTTCTCTTCTTTTCAACCACACATTTTTTATTAAAATAATATTATACATAAATAAAAAACTTTTCTTTATTTTTCAACCACACATTTCCCATCAATTTACTATTCTAAAATGCATTTTTTCAAGAAAATGGGTATCAAACACCCCCTTAAAGTTTGTATCACAGAATTCAGAACACCTAAATCACCATAGAGATACAAACTTTATGTTACCAATAATGTTCTATGATATAAATCTGGGTGAAATGCTCAAACTGTATAACAATCACCACAAGAAGGAATTCTATCACCGTCTCAAGTGCATGCACTCGACGTGCATGAATCCAATTTTGTTAATTTCATTCTCAATAGTCAATAATTTTCCATGGCAGAATGTATCAGATTCATCACCGGAAAGACATTTTGAAAGATTTTTCTTTCACATTATAATCACTTTACATGATGGGAAAACCAAAATCCTTCTTCAGAATATTTTATGCCTTAATTCAACTTTTGCAACAATTTAAGATTTTGTCGCAGTAAGAAGAGACAAAGAAAAAAGAAATGTCTAACATCCATTTTTTTTTTTTTCAAAAAAAAAAAAATGAGAGAATTTTATTCACAGAGATGAAATAATTCTCCCATTAAAATAGAATCAAAAGTAAACAACTTATTATGCTAATCAGCTACTCTGAGGAATCTCCCACAGTCTACCTCGCATCATGCATGCAGTTAAATTAAGCAAAATGGAGAAAATTCGGTTCAGGACCAGAGAGAGAGAGAGGGCGAGGGAAATGTGAGCTCCCTCTTTCACACTCGAGCATCTGGCTGGGCCTAGTGTCGAAATTGAGCGCTACCAATGAGCTTTGAATGGGATGAAACATGACAACGCTTTCTTTTGTATGGTTTCCCTCATTACTAAGTCATTTCTATGGCATTCAAGGCAATCTCTCTAATTGCTTTGAGCCTTTGATGTTCCAATCAACTTTCCCAAAGCCTATAGGCATACATCAATACATACCTTTTTAATGTTGGTAAGCACGCATTTGATGTTGTCCCATCAATCTATATTCAAGTATTTTTTTAATATCAAATGAATTTTTTCAACTTCTCAGAAGAATTTAAGGGCAGTAACCACTCTATCCTCACATTGCAACATGCTAAATCCAAATTTGAGCATTCACTATAAAAGGGAGCCAGACCCATAGCATCACGTGATGCAGGCACTAACAGGCTCCACTTTGGTTTGCCAACTTATACAACTCTTGAGCCTGTGAATACATGCATGCCATAGGCAGATTTATAGAAAATAATGATACACAAAAGGAAAACGACAAGAAGAATGGTCATTAGACAATGTAAAGTTCGAATGATAGCACTGGTAAATTGGAACTTGTACTGCTAGCAAAATACATAATTCCAAGCAATAACACACACACACACTCCTACTGCGGTTGTTTCTCAGTGTCCGATACACCGCATGGTGCGCCCCTTTTTTATAAAAAAATTCTGACACTCAAGGGACACCTCTCAAAAAGCCCCTAGGACGCGTGTTCATCGAGTCATGTTACCTGTTCAGATTTTTATCATTCTTTAGAGTTTTTAACCCACAAGGAACATGTCAGTGACACAGCCCCATAACGTAAATACTGGAGTGGAATTAAAACATTTGTGTAAAATATTCAAAAAATGTGAGAAAAATTCAATATCATATGTATTTTTCTTTATCTGTCAGAAGCAACATATAGTTTAACCCAAAGCATCTTATTACAACAAATAACAATCATCTTATTCAAAAGATTGCATGTACAAAAACCTAAGCTAAAGAATATTTAATTTTTTGAAAAATAAGACAGCATAAAATATATGATATTAAATAAATATCTATAGTTTTAAAGAATTTAAATTGGCGTGTACTTAATGTGTCCATGTCCAACCATTTTGAAAAAGCACGTGCTGGAGTGTGCTATAGTTTTATGTGACTGGGTTCCATTCTTGTTCGCTTCCAACATGCATAACAATTTTTGGCAACCAGACAAAAATTAAATAAGATTTGTATTACTGAAATTAACTTCAAAAGGCAGATATCATACAGTATAAAGCAAACCATAAAGGCACCATATGGTATAAAGCAATCCCAAATTACATTATCAACATCATCTATAGCTCAACCATACTGGGGGGGGGGGGGGGG